TCTTGACCCACAGGATCTGAGACTCTGGGTGTGGCTTGAACATATATAAAACCTCAAAGCCCGCCTCCACAGTGACACATGTCCTCCAACAGACATACCCAATCTAACAAAGCCACACCTCCTAATAGTGCCACTCCCTTTGGGGGTCATTTTCTTTCAAACCACCACGTACACTCATCCTGATCCCTGTCCTATTGTACCGTTAATTTTTTAACTGAGTTTTTAAAAGTTAGGGGAGGGATGGTGGATTATGTAGATTTTTATTGTGATTTACAATTTCGAGTCAAGTGTGTATTTACTCATGCCAACTGAATGAAAGGGATAAAGGAACTTGCTTTATCATCAAAAGAAACAATATGTCATTCACCCTGCTTTGCATTTGCTCACGAGTTTCTTTGCTTTCTGAATACTTGCTGGGCAGGATGGCTGGTGCCTTTAATCCCAGCACTGGGAAGGCAGAGGCAAGCAAATCTCTGAGTTCGAGGCCAGCTTGATATACAAAGTAAGGCCAGCTAGAGCTGTTACACAGAGAAACTTTGTCTCAAAAAAACAAAACAAACAAACAAAAAGATAAGGTACAAATAGGACCCAGTTTTCCTTTGTTTTATAGAGTTTTCCACTAAGATAAAGCCAAGGGAAATCTAAGTGAAAGAGAGTCTTTATTGTTCAGGAGAGATACCCTGTTAACAGAAAGCTTTAACGGAAAGGAAAGAAAAGGAAGAACGGGGCTGGCGCTGTAGCTCATAGCAAGAGAGTGGCTGAAGATTGCTCAGCTGTGGAGCCAGAACTCCTTTTGGGAAGGCCCCGTTTGGCTCCTGGCACACACTTCCAGCAGCACACAGCTGCCTGTAACTCCATCTTCAGTGCCACAGCCGGCACTGCTCTCACACACCGACACACACTCACACACACTCGAAATTAAAAACAAAGAAATATTTTACAGGTAACAAAATCTATGCTCAAATCACTGCTTATTTCCTAACAAAATAATCTGTAAAATTAAATTCTTTTACTACAGCTTCAAACAAATACATGCAAAACATATTACATAATTTGCCCCACATGCAAATAAATCAACTCCTGGTTTTGACTGTGAAGAAAAGCAATTGGTACTAATGTGTGCTTTTGAATTGGCCCCTAACAAAGACAGATTAGTGAAAGAAAAAGCACACATGCCTTTAACATAAGAGCCATCAGGAATGAATACCCAGGGCCAGCAATGCAGCTCAGTCTGTGAAGATGCCTGCTCCCAAGATGCCTGAGTTCAATCCTTGGGGCTGGCAAAATGGAAGAAGAGCATTGACTCTTGCAAGTTGTCCTCTGACCTCTGCACTGACTCCTGCAAGTTGTCCTCTGACCTCTGCATGTGTGCCCAGGGCTTGCACCCTCTCCCCATCCCTACAAATAAATTAATGAAGTGTGATTTAAAAAGATTCGAAAAGAAATGGAGACTGAAAGACCCACAGAAAACGAACCTTTTCTGGGCCGTGCTGCACAGTGTGATGGGGACAAGGTTATGAAAAGGTGAGCTGGGGTGACCTTCAGATTCGTTTTAGACTCCATGTCAAAGCCAGGGTCCCTCTGGAGTAAAGACTTTAGGACGTCGTTTCAGGAGAGCTAAGGGACAGAATACTTATGATCTGCTCAGGGGAGTGAGGTGACCTGCCTCAAGTTTTCTTGGTTTGCTTTAAGTATAAACTGGAAGTCCCTGGAGTCACAGGAGTGGCCAGGTCCCTCCCCTTGAGGACTACTAACCACCCAACTGAATACTCTACTGCTAGAGCCTGCCCTACAGAGTAAAAAAAAAAAAAAAAAAAAAAAAAAAACCTCTGGACATGAAATCCCACCCATCTCCACCCTGAAAAGTTCCACCCCCTTTCCAAGAAAGTCTGTATAAGCCTTGTATTCTGTTGGGTCTGCTGCTGTTTCTTGCCCTAGCAGAGGCAGCCACCCACCTGATTTTTCCCCTTCTGATAAATCTCTTATGTGAGTTTCTTGTGTGGTGTGAGTTTGGCTCCTAGACGTCAGGATACCTTTCCATCTGAGCTGTAATGATTACATAAACTAGTATGGCAATGCGTCAAATGCTGGGTAAATATCCTACACCCATCAGCTAACACATCCCATGATTAATGCCTTATTGATGATTCTTCTCTCTCTCTCTCTCTCTCTCTCTCTCTCTCTCTCTCTCTCTCTCTCTCTCTCTCTCTCTCTCTCTCTCTCGTGTGTGTGTGACATTTTGTGCACATGCCAAAGGTCTATAGTGACTGACTGGCCAGCAAGCCCCTGAGAATCTTCCTGTCTCTTCCTTACTAGTGCTGGGATTAGAGGTGCACACAGCCACACCCAGCTTCGTGCGTGGGTGCTAGAAATCCATACCCAGGTCTCTGTGCTTACACAGCAAGCATATCACTCACTGAGCTGCTCCACAGCCTTGATTAATGATTCTGAATGAGGCTTCAGTGTTTTCTTTCTTCTCATCGCCTTATGTTCCTAGAATGAATGTCCGCTAGGTGAACACCTAAATGGACGTTAGTAAGCTTTTCAAAGCTGTATTCCCAAGCACTGGATCCCTATGAGTGTTGGGTTCAACACAGGAAATCTGTTCAAAGCAGGTGCCAGGCTCTAGTGTCTGTGGTTCACCTTTCTTCCAATCCCTGTCACCTCCGAAGCCCCAAGAACTATCCTGCAGCTCTCTGGTTACTACTCAGTGTCATTCCTTGCCAATAAACTTTCCTGGTAACCCTTTATACACCTTACTCAGATTTTCATCTAATTTATACACCACATTAATCTTCAAATCGTTTGGTGGAAACGTATTTCCTATCTGACTTAGTACATTGAGACTTTTAAATCTATAATTCTAAACACAGGGGGGAAATCACATACGTAAGGGATCTCAGAGAGTCCACAAGGGATGTATGCTGAAGTGTGAAACTAAAGACTGAAGCTCATAGCCAAATCTTTTAAGTCACATCACAGCCTGGGAGAGCCTGAAACTCTTTCCCGCTCTAGAAACTCAATTCACAGGACACTAGAACGATAATGCCTCCAGCTTATACAAGCACCACTCTAGTTTATATCATAACACCTCTATATAACTCAGTTTGGGTTTCTTTTGGGGGTTTCACTGTGTACTCCTGACTGTCCTGGAACTTGCTCTGTAGACCAGGGTGTCCTCAAACTCACAGAGATCCGCCTGCCTCTGCTTCCCAGGTGCTGAGACTAAAGGCATGTGCCACACCGCCTGGCTATTGTCTTGCACTTCTACGATTGTGATAGCATTGGTTAAACAATATCTTACAAAGGGCTGGAGTGATTGCTCAGTGATTGACAGTGCGTAGCGCTCTTGCAGAGTTTGGTTTTGGGGACACCACACAGCTCAAAACTGAATGGAATTCCAGCTCCAGGGCCTCCGATGGCCCCTTCTGATCTCTGGCACCTGAAATCACATGCAATGCCTGCACACACACACACACACACACACACACACACACACACAGAGTTAACAAATCTTTAAAATTTGTCTTATAGGTGATCCTGACAAAGCTTTGTGCTATCACACTTTGTCATACTGGCTTTGCTGCCAACTCTTATACAGTCTTCAGGCTTTTCCCCAGTCAGCACCATCCTAGCCTGTTGGTTGGGAGTCATTTTATGGTATATAGCATCTTACTGCATTGATCCTACCAGCCTGTGGGTAAGATAAGGTGTGCAGGGAAAGAATTGGTTTTCCTTTATCCTGGATTCCAGATGCCTATGCAACAAAGAAAGGCTAGCGAGATAAACACATGCATTTATTTCAGTTTTCTTCAATACAGGAAATCCTTAAAAACAAAGACCCACATAAACTGGGAATGTGTACATCCGTTAGGGATGATGAAGCAGTAGGCTGACAAACGGGACGTGCCCTCGTGGCAGTAAGCCATGGGAGGGGGCTCCTCAACAGGGCTGTTGGCTCATTCTTCTCTGCCTCCCTGTGTCTTCAGGGATAAGGCTATTCTTTTCTTCCTGATAGGAGGAAACACCTCTCACCTGAGGGTCTTATGGCTTGCTGGGGGCAGGGGATGGGGGTTTGGGGGAGGGAATAAAGTTAGGGAGACCTGTCCGCTACGGTGGTTTTCTCAAAAGCAAACTGTTACATTTCAGGCTAGCCTAACCTGGTGTGACACCATCAGGTGTCACTAACATTGAGAGTTGGGAGTCACCCGCTCACTTTGTCCAGGCTTCTCTTCTACCTACCTGGGACCTAAGCCAGTGCAGATTCTTCTCTAGGGGGTTTTGAAAAGAAAACAGGTGGTCTACATGTAAAACAAAACACTGACACAATTCAATAGCAAAACAGGTAAAGAAATGATATAAAATGCTTACTGATGATGTACTACTATACCGTACATTAAGTTGAACCTGTCAGCGTAGCATAACAAGAGCTACTAAAATTGATGAAAAAATGCCTATTTTTATAATGAAACACAAAGCCTCCAGGGATAGATCCATTTGCATTTTTTGCTACTAGCCTAAACCTGGAAAATACTTATGATATCAAAGTTCTTCATGTCTCCCCAGGGTCCTCAGAGTGTCAGAGCTATGTGGGTTCTTTAAGAATAGGATACTCTACTCTTTCCGGAAAACCCCTCCCATTCTGTTTTTCATGGTGCTCAAAATACCCTTACATCATAAAAGGGACAAGGAAGAACCAGGGGTATTAGCCTGAGTGCTGTAGAGAAACAGAACCAGTGTGTGTGTGTGTGTGTGTGTGTGTGTGTGTGTGTGTGTGTGTGTGTGTGTGTGTGTGGTCTCTAAAATAGTAACAGTTGCCATGGAAGCAAATGTCTTTACTCCCAGCACTTGGGAGGCAGAGACAGGCCAATCTCTGTGAGTTTGAGACAAGCCTGGTCTACAAGTTCCAGCTAAATCACACCTGCAAACCCTTAGTTACCCAGTCCTTGAGGCTGGATGCCATTAGCTATCTGAGAAAGGGGAGTGGGCAAGCAAGAGTCGCTCAATCCACAAGGCAGCCTCGGTAGTTCCGACCAGGCACCAGAAGCCTGGAAGTTTCCTGGAGAGTCACTGCTCCCTACTGCCCAAAGGAAGCTTGGAAATGGTGATTCTCTTATCAGAAGAGGGATCCACAGGGCTACAGGCAAATCAACTCTGCTGCGACAGGGAAGGCCAGTCCCATGAAGGGTAAGCCAATCTTCCTTCTACATGCCTTTTTCTGTGTGCGTGTGCTGCTACCAGAAGGTGCCACCAACAGTCGGAGTGGGTCTTCCCATATCAATCAAGGTAACTGGGACACTTCTTCAGGTGAGGGCCCCTACTCGGGCCATTCTAATTTGCAGCAAACTAGCAACACATTGAGTTGAAGTACAAGATTAGCACACAGAACCATTGTGGGGCAAACAACAGCATCGGCTGGCTCAGGTTGCAAGATGTACAGAGACAAGTGAGTACCCAGGCTCTCTCACTGCCTTCCTGCCCCAGGATACTGTCCTGACCCCACTCCGTACTGCCATCGAGTCTTTGAAAAGGTTCTTTAGGAACATTCTACTGCCACTTCATTATATAGAAAATGAGCCCCACAACAACATGTACCTTACCGGGTTAATAAGATGGAATGTCTGATGAGTACTCTGTAAGTCAGTCATTCCATCACCTTTAAATATTTATTTTGAGAAGAAAGCTATGAAAAACTTAAATCAAAATTTAATCTTCCAGTGAGACCATTTCTATCCATCTTCTTTTTCTAAGTTAAAAATAAAATATTTTTACATATCTTCATCGCTCACCGGTTAGCTTTTGATCCTAAAAATATAAAATTTTAAATATTACTTCAGAGATAAAAGAGGTAGAAAATTAGAAATCAGGGTACAGATAGGCAGATTCCTTTGTGATCTGTGGTTTAGTGAAATGCAAGCCTTCCGGGAAAATGTATTCATTGAAAAGTGAGTAGTGGGATTGGAGAGGTGGTTTAGCAGTTAAGAGCATTGACTGCTCTTTCAGAGGATCCAGGTTCAATTCCTAGCACCCACATGTCTGTAGTTCCAGTTCCAGGGGACCCAGTACCCTCTCACAGACATGCAGGCAACACACCAATGCACCAAAAATAAAAATCAAAACAAAACTGAGTAGTTAAGTGTGATACTGCATGACTGTAACCTCAGCACCAGGGAGAGGAGGAGGCAGGAGATGCAGGGGTTCAAGGTCAGCCTGCTGGGTTATACGGCTACTCTGAGGCCAGTCCCAGGTGTCAAAAAGTAAAATCAGACTCAAGGGATAAGAACACCTCATATGCTCTTCCAGAGGACCAAGATTCCTAGTCCCCGGTCCTACACAGTGCCTCACAACCACCTGTAACTCCAGTTCCAGATCTGATACCCTCTCCTGGCCTCCAAGAGTAATTCGCGTACATGGTACATAGATATACATGCATGCAAAATCCCCTACACATAAAATAATAATAATAAACCTAATTAAAAAAAAACTAAAATGGCCCAGCAGTGGTGGCGCTTGGCGCTTGTCTTTAATTCCAGCACTCGGGAGGCAGAGGCAGGCGGATCTCTGTGAGTTTGAGACCAGCCTGGTCTACAAGAGCTAGTTCCAGGACAGCCTCCAAAGCTGCAGAGAAACCCTGTCTCAAAATACCTAAATAAATAAACAACAACAACAACAAAAAAACTAAAATGAAGGCAGTGATGGCACATGCCTTTAATCCCAGCACTTGGGAAACAGATGCAGGAGGATCTCTGTGAGTTCAAGGCCAGCTCTGGTCCACAGAGCAAATTCCAGGTCAGGGCTACACAAAAAAAAATCTGTCTCCAAAAACCAGCAAATAAATAAATACATAAATAAATAAAGTAAAAAGAAAGAAGGAAAAAAATCACATAATCTGTGTGAAAATCTAGTCAAGGTAGTGCTTTGATACAATGGAAATGTTGCTACCATCTACCTGTCTAACAAAAATGACTTGTTCTAACACTGCTAGGAAAGATGCTCATTGAAATGCTTATTAAGGGCTGGAGATATAGTTCAGTTGGTAATGTGTTTAGCTTATGTACATGAGGGTCTGGGTTTGATCTCCACCAACACACACACATACACACACACACACACACACACAAATATTAATTATAAATCTAATCCCCCAAGATACAATTTGATAAATACAGATTTAGAGGTGTTCTTCAAGGTGATAGCTTCAATTCTTTTAAAATTGCCAATATCATGGGAGGGGGGCAAAGAATGATAGTAATGTAAATTTTTCCAGTCCACAAAATGCAAATCGTGACCCTTGGAATGTTATTGATGGTTTTGCAGATCAAGCTAGTCTGCCAGATTTTGCATCCATGCATCTGCTTGCAATTCCATCCCAGCATTCCTCATTCCTTATGTGACATGTATTCGTGGTGTCTGGTACCGTCGGCAGTTTCTTAGGATTTATGCTTCTTCCCACATGTGTAAATTAAATAAAATCTTCCCCCATGCTTATTTAGTATTTACATTGGAATTGGGATCATATTTTCTTTCAGATTTATCTTTGACATATTTTGACATATTTCTTAGAATGATCTTTAGTAGTTTTATAAAAATAATATTACACTAAAATAAAAATAGAATGTTGCCCAAAACTTGGGAGACTTGAAATATGCTTATACATTTCCTCTTTCCTAAAATATATTCAGCACAAATGCACGCATATATGATTAAGACAGGAAATAAAGCTGAGAAAATAGCTCAGGTGTAAAATGATTTAAGATAAAGGTACATGATACAAAATACAGTGAGTAAACCAGAGCCTCAGAGCTGGGCTATGGCCCAGTTGGAGAGAATATTCCTAGCTTTGGGTTCGTTCCCAACACTAACCACAGTCACTCACAGGCAGACACTCACACCAGAAAACTCATCAAAACAAACAACCCTACTCTAACCCTCCCATACACACACCACCACCAAAACAGTTTTAAAATTACCTGTCCAGGGTGACCATAACAAAGTCCAAGGCCAGAATTTCTCAGAGGAATTTTCGTGATCAGTAGATTATGAAAAGGGGTGGACATCTCTTAAGGCGCAAACAAAACAAAAACCAAAGATAAACTGTTTCGGGGTTCCTATACGTTGTGCTATAAAAAGTGCATTCGTTATCTAATGTTGTAAGAGAAATTGCAACAAGTTTATTGGCCTAAAATCATAATAGTACTTGTATTTTATAGTTTCTGTTGGTCAGGAATTCAGACAGGATGTAACAATGGGAATAGCTTGTCTTTCCCAACGTGACATCTACAAGACTAAAGACAGGGGAATTAAAATCACTGGAAGACTTAACAGGGAACAGGTCTGCTTCTGAGTTACCGCACTCTGTGGCTTTCAACCTGATACTGGAAAGTCAATTTCTTAGCCACATAGGACTCATTCCCCGGGGGCTGACTGGTTGTTCCCATGACAAGGTCACTTAGGAGGCTGAGGCAGGAGGATTGAGAATTTCAAGCCAGCCTGGAATATACAGTGAGACCTTATATCAAACACTCTAGGGCAAGTGAGAGAGCTCACCTGGCCCAGGTGATTGGCACTAAGCCTGGCAACTTGAGCCATATGCCCAGACCCACATGGTAAAGGGGGGTGGGGGTAAGCTCACACCACAGGTTATCTTCTGATCTCCACAGAGGTGTCACCCCACAAAATAAATACAGTTTTTAAAGCATTAACCAAATGAAAGAATGAAAAAAGTCAAATGAAATATTTATAGAAAGTTAGTATCTGAAACACTGATTAAAAACTACATAAATTTATTTGTTTCTGAGACAGAGTCTCACTAGGTAGCCCTAGCTGTCCTGAAATCCACTGTGTAGACCATGTTAGGCTTAAACTCACGGAATTAGCTGTTTCTACTGGGAATAAAGGCGGGTACCATATATCATATATCATATATATATATATATATCATGTTATCTGTGGATTATTGTTGATTTAACTTTATTGGTGATTAAAGTGCTGGGATTAAAGGCGGGTACCACCATGCCTGGCTTAAAAACTATATACATTTTAAAATTTGATTTTGATTGCTGTGAATCTGAAAAGTATAGTTCTCATCATTTGTGTTGGCTGAAACTTTCACTGAAAGCCAAATACTGGGGATTGAGTTCAGGTTTTATCGCACATTAGGGAAGTACCTCACCCACAGAGTCCAATCAATTCTTTCAACTGGGCCAAAAACATATGACTACAGAATGCTTTGATTTCTTCGGCTAACTAGAGATGGCTAGAAATAATAACTCTTCACATATTTAGGCAGAGGTTTTTATTTTGTATTAAAACAGTGTCTCAGCCAGGTGGTGATGGCGCACACCTTTAATTCCAGCACTTGGGAGGCAGAGGCAGGCAGATCTCTGTGAGTTCAAGGCCAGCTTGGTCTACCTAGCTAGTTCCAGGACAGAGAAACCTTGTCTCAAAAAACAAAACAAAACAAAACAAAAAACCAAACAAACAAACAAAAAAAGACAGTGTCTCATGTAGTCCAAGCTGGCCTTGAACATGCCACGTAGCTGAGGATGACCTTCAACCCCTGCTTCTTCCTTCTAAGTGCTAGGACTGTGAGCATGCAATCCCATAACTGGCTTTAAACCCAGGGCTTCTCTACATATTACGCAAGCTGATTTATATCCCAAATTAATTATTAAAACATAAGTACCTGTGACTCAGATTTTAAGCACAGTTAGGATTTGAAGGTTGAAATTTTACTATAGTCAATTAGAATTCATCAGAAAAAAAATCCAAAATAGTATTAGAAATAAATTGGTTTTTAAAGTGTCTGTACATTAATGCATTTGGAAGCAGGTATGAATATGTACGTATACATATATGTGGATATAACACGTTATCTGTGGATTATTGTTTATTTAACTTTATTGGTGATTAAACCTAGGGCCTTGCACGTACTAGGCAAAGTCTTCTACCATTTAGATAGGTCCTCAGACCCAGCTTGTGGTCTCAAACTATTAATGATTAACTTATATGAGCCCCATATGTATAGGCAAGTCTGTTCTCATCCACACCACTAGGGTTGCTTTAGTCTTCAGGCTTCTCTGAAGGAGCAGGTGGGTCTTTTTAAGGTTTACGGAGAATAATAGAAAAGGAGATTTATCATAGAAATTAACTCACGAGATTATGAAGGCCAAAGAGTCCCAGGACACGCCTTTGGCAAGATTCCAAGCCACGAGAGTCCCTGGGAATAACTCAGCGTGAGGCCAGAGGCCTAAGGCCAGAACAGGCAAATGTGTTCATTCTCAGTGTAAGGCAGAAGCCTCAACATTGCCAATGAGTGTGCAATTTGTGAGTCGTGGACACAGACGGCTGCAGAATGTGCAGTAACCATACCAGAGTACATGTGCAGACGGATGGCCTGGTCGTTCTGTCCCATCTGTCCTCGGTGGATGGATGATGCCCACCCACATGGAGACAGCCTTCATGCAGACCATAGATGCAGATGCTAACCTCTGCTGGAAATACCTTCACAGACACACGCCGAAACAGCTTGAGCAGCGGTCTGGGCCGTCCCTCCCCTGCCAGGTTGGCACAGTTCCCCTCCCAGTGAAAAGGCACACTGACAGGAGGGGTAAGAAGCATTGGGTTCGTAGCCTCCTTTTCTGCTTTTGCCTTCCGTGACGTTGGCTGGCAAATCTAATGACGAATTCATTTTTGTGTTTAACTTCATTTAGATTTGTTCTCCAGTTATGCGGCAAATGCCTTAAAGATAACGACAGCTCCTGAAGGCGTGCTTCCCCTGGAGCTAGACTTGGCTCTTAGCCACCGTTACCTTCTTTCTGAAATGTATTGTACAACTGCTCATCTCCCTTGTGCGTAATGGCTTTTAGCAGCATTTCAGAACACAGTGGACTATAAAAAGCTGAAAGCAAGTGCCCATTCTACACTGTGAATTTATCTATTTTCCTAAACAAAGAAAACATAAAGCTTTCTTGTGGGAAGTTCAGTGGTTGTTTCATAGGTAGAGTGAAAATGGATGTATAAAAAAAGACTTTGCGAGGGCTAGAAAGACAGCTTAGTGGGTTAAGACACCTGTGGCCAAGCCTGACAGTTCAGTCCCTGGAACCCATGGCAGAAAGAGAGATCTGACTCCACTGGCTAGCTTCCAGCCTCCACATATGTGGTGTGACATGCACATTCCCTACACAAGAAAGCTTAATCAATTAATCAGTTAATTGATTTTTTACAATAACTACCTCAAAATTCCCACAGAAAAGTGTTAGGTATTCACTGCAGGATACAAGGTAAAGAATAACAGGGGGAAGGGAGGCTTTAATCCAGCACTTGGAAAGCGGAGTTTGAAGCCACTTGTGTCTACACAAATGGTTCTGGGACAGCTAGAGCTCTATAAAGAAACCCTGTCCAAAAAAAAAAAAAAAGTAGGAATGGCTAAGTTGTTTGTTTCTTGCTTGCAAGAAAAGAAAATTTCCCAAATAAATCCGATGACTGTCCTTAGCAAGTAGCTTACATCAGAAATCACTGTTCAGAGACGTATCTCGGGTTTGGCAGAATACACAACCTGCATTTTGAAACAAAGCCCAAGTTAATTCTACATAAACAGCAGAGGCATCTCGGTAAGGATGGTTGTGGTAAAACTGGACTGCAGAAGCCAGAGAGAAGTGGTGCACATCTTTTAATCGCAGCATTTGGGAAGCGGAGGCAGGTGGATCTCTGTGAGTTGGAGGCCAGCCTGGTCTACAGAGTGAGTTCTGGGACAGCCAGCTGTTACACCAAGAAACCAAAAAAGTCCCCCACCAGACTTCAGAGAAGTGGCTAGCAAATTCTTATTATTGCTGTTATGTGTGTATGGGTGTGTGTGCTCCTTTGTGAAGGACAGTGTCTATGTGTGTGTAGGGGGGTTGTAGATGTGCATGTGAGAGGGTGTGTGTGTGTACATGTGTGTGGTTGTGCATGTGTGGGGGTATGCAGATGTGTGGGTGTGTGTGCATGTGGGGTGCATGCAGGTGTGTGCGTGTGCACGTGCGCGTGCGTGCACGCACGCACACACATGTGTAGGGGGTGGTATACTGCTTTATACAGGCTAGTGTTGAGTCAACGTTAGGTGTCTTTCTCTGTTGTTCTCTGCTTATTCTTTGAAACATGCACCCTGCACCCCACCCCTCCCAAGCCTGAACTCACAATTTCATCTAGACTAACTGGCCAGCGAGTGGTTTATAGCAATTTTCTCCAGGATAAAACCTTCCACCTTGGAGGGAAGCTCCTTAAGATACAGAGTATTCGAAAAGGAAGTGAAACGTGTCATGTTGTCCTTAGGGAAGCTCATTTAGCTCATGAAGAAAACATCTGGAAGGCTTCAGGAAGTCCCTAAACCTGACAAGACATAATATCAGGCCCCCACCGCAGCTTATACAAGCCATGAGGACTGCTAAGAGACTCTAAGAGGAACTGAGCTGTGTGGATGAGACACTCTCCAACCTGTTGAGCTGCCTGCAGGCTGTGCAGTACACTCCTGGCTTCCAGCTTTTTTGAGCAATCATCCATGCTGAGGTGGCTTTGGGTGACTCAGCTGTCTTTGAGTCATTTCTGCTCTTGAGGTATCCCAATAAAACTCATTGGCTTACCAAGTTGAACTTTGGTGGTGTCCTAACTGTGATCTCTCATTGGTTCCTTATCTGGAGAAGGTTTGGTAATGTCTCCCCAGAAACAGTGTCACCCAATGTCTCTGCCCACCCCAGTCCACCTGTCTCTGCCCCACCCCAGTACTGTGCCAAGGTTTTTACATGGGTGCTAGAGAGCCAGATGAGGTCCTCACACTTGTACAACCAGCACTTTACCTGCCGGGTAAAGCGTCTTCCCAGCCACCCGAAATGCCTATTCATAACTACAACAGTAAATATTTGTTTCAGACAAAGTTAATAAATAAAAACATGAGTCCAAGTATGGCAATAAGAACTTAGGATATAGTATACTGACGCTATAAAGTCATTTCCTATGATCTGAATATTAATATCTCCCGAACAAACTGGAACATGATTACCAATTTTTAAGAGATAAATGTATTATGACAAAAGGGGTTTCTTATGTGTTAAAGCATCAACTGGGGGAGGAAGGGGCTTATTTCAGCTTGCAACTCTCAGATCATAATCCATCACTGAGAGAAGCCAGGACAGGAAAGGACAGGAACCTGGAGGCAGGAGCTGAGGCAGGGGTCATGGAGGAGTATTGTTTAGTGGCTTACTACCCATGTTTCTCTTCATCTGCTTCCTGATACCCGCCCCCTAGGATCACATGCCTAGGAGTTACCAGGCTGGGCTCAAACTCACAGTCCGCTTCTGCCTCCCAAGCACTGGGATTAAAGGCATTACTCACTATCACCCCATTGCTTGTTTAGGGGAGTTTCTTTTAAAACAAATAAACAATAATAATGGAGGGTCTTTATATAACCCAGGCTGGTTTTGAGCTCACTACACACTGTTGAAACTGACCTTGAACTACACCTCCACCTCCCAATCACTGGTGTCACTGGTATGTATCACCACACCTATCTTCTTTTAATAATTATTAAAATTGAGTGGGTATTATTTGCTAACACTTGGGCAATTAGATTTTAATTACTAATTAGACTCCTTCCCTATTGAAATGACCCCTAGACCCAACTATTGGTGCTCTTAGTTCTAGCCTCATACCCTTTTCTTGAATTTCCAGACCTTTGTTTCTCTGCTCAGGGTTTTTGTAGAGGCCTGAATAAAGTCAGTTTAAATCAGGACACTCTCAAAGCTGAAGAAAGTGGTCCTCAGTCGATGGTTAGCTGCTAATACCACACTGAAATAAACACTCATGTTTAGCATGGCAACCTGGGAGAAATTTATTTATGGTGGAACCAGGGAGTCAACATTTCTTTTTTTTTTTTTTTTTTTTTTTGGAGCTTAAGTGAGTTTATTAGAAAGGGGAGGAAGGAGGAAAGAAGAGAAGAGGGAGGCAGAGGCAGGAAAAGTCCTGTCTGTCCCAGGGGAACAGCAGCAAAGAGAGGGAAACAGAGCAGAAAGAGAGCGGAAAGTCAGTCAACATTTCTTTTTTGGATACTGATTAGAGAGTGTCTGTCCACATTAATTCCTATTTGTTTTTCTTAGGACTCAACTATTTCTCCCAGGATTTCATTTTCATTGAATGGGTACAGTCCATGCTTCTCTATCACAGTGTTCGCCCTAAGGGACTGCAGTAAGAATGTCAGTGTGAGACAAATATGCACTTAATAAAGGTTTGTATACATCCCTTCTGTTTTCCAGGCATTGCTGAGTGATCACCAACAGGTTAGCTACATCCATGACCCTTCAATATTTTCACTTATGAAATAAAATGATTTGACTGCATTGATCCTAAAATCAATTACTTCTAAAATTCTGCAAAGCCAAAGAAACTTTTAACCGATGAAGAGTTAGACTCCTTTAAGCTTCTCACAGTTTGCTCATTAACCAACAATCATGAAACATGATCTTGAGAGTTCAGGAGATCCCATACTGTTATCCTAAGAATCTGACTACAGAAATACATATGTCACAGAGTTAGCCATTCTTCTGAAGCAGAATTGAAGCTTTACACATGAATACATTTTTTAAAGGTCTTAGGAAACTTCTGGTAAATATAATCACACCAAGAGTAATTTGGAAACTCTTCCAATTTATAGCAACACTTGTTAGTCTGAAAGCTAATGAAAACTGCCAAGCTCTATGATTGTATAATTCAGGAAGACTGGGCATAAGCTAATGTATTCATCAAAGACCACCATGATTGCTGTGATGTTTTAGGTAGGTTTGGTCTTGCGAAAATAAAAATATAATCTTAAAAGTTTTATTTAATTGGGAAAGAACCATGCCAGATAATACCATCAAGTTACCTTTTTCATTAAGCTAATATTAAATTTTCAAGACAGAAAGATTTTAGATTTTAGCAGTTGTTATTACCGTTAGTTTAAAAAAAAACAAAAAAAAACTTGGCTATATTATTTGGTATAAGTCAGATGTTAAGGTAGTATCAATTTTGGAATTCTACCAGGCATAGCAAACCATTCTAAATTCTGGCTTAAGTAGCATGGTCACTGATTGTTCCAGCTTACCAGGTTCAAACTTGTCATTTTTGGCAAAAGAGGCAGATTTTCACCCACACACAGGGTTTTAGCTGTATTTGCTTTTCCCAAACACTGCCAACTGTTAATTAATTTTTGAATGGGTAATACAGCATGCACACAATACAAAATTTAGAAGACAAAATTATTTACAATGAAAAGTAAATTTCATTTTAACCCCAATCTAGAAGCTTCCCAGTCCCCAACCAGTTCATATAACTTGGGTAAACTGAGGTCATTTCATAATTATTTTTAAACTGATAAAATTAATTAATTAATGGGTGGAGAGATGGCTCAGGGGATCTGATGCTATTTTTTTGCCTCTGCAGGCACCTGCCTTCATGTGCACATTACACACACAATTTTAAATGTTAATAGAATTTTGGACTTGGTAGTATGTGCTCTGAATCCCAATACTCCAGAGGAGAAGAGGCAGATAGATCTCTATGTTCTATGCCAACTAGGAATGCATAGGACACAGCAGGTAGCAATTAAATCTCCAGGTGTCAACCCACCAGGAAGCAAATCCCTGATGGGTGAATCTCTCATAGGCAAGGCCCCAAGACCACAGACTCCAGAATGTCTTTTGCTTCGGCTGTGCCTTCTTAGCTGCTACCATCTTTCTCTGGTATCTGGCATGATGTGAAAGGGTGTGGGGAGATGCTCACTACCTGTAACCATAGTCATGTTTGTCTCATGGAAATATCCTGTTCCACTGGCCATGTTTACCTGTGGATTATTATGTAGATGATTTCCTCCTAGGCCCTACTGTTTAACTGAAGTAATGATTTCTTACAGCAATAGTGTTAGTTTAAAAAGGATTTTGATAATTGAGGATTTTTAATAAATATAGTAAGGAATTATGATAGTGGTTAGTTTAGTGGAAACATTAACATAAAGGTAGCATAAAATGTTATCCCTGCCTCTTATGAAGCAGAAGCTGCAGAGAATAAAAAAAAATAAATAAAACAAAGAAGTGTCACACGGCTAGAACACATGAGTTTCTGTTGAGGAGCCACATCGACTATGGCTTAGGTTAATGATTAACAAAAACAGCTGAGTCCCAGTAGTTTAAGTTCTTTTATCTTAATGTCAGGAGGTGTGTTCACAGGTTTCGGAGTACATCATAGCTGAAACAAAGCTTTGAAAATAATTTAAATTCAGACTAAGATGTTTTTGTTAAATAACTTTGAGGTGATAAACCCAAGAAGACAGTCTGAAGGGTTTTTTTGTTTTTTGTTTTTGTTTTTAAACACAATTGCATTTTATTTTGACAAAGCACACAAGGGTCAGGTATGTAGTAACTATAAAACTGCCCCACTCTATGGTTCCATGTGAAGTCCCAACACACACACACAGGATGTTGTGCTCACATTTAACACAGGACAGGCAAAAAGTAGAAGAGAAGCAAGGCCTAAGGTTTATGGCAGGCAAGGGCAATTATTAGGGTTAAGTTTAGGATTAGGGTAGCAGGTACAGTACTGAATTGGAAGCACCTGTGTAACTGAGTCTAGTACTGCACCTGGGTAGTGGGAGGAGAGCAGGGGTCTTTTGGGAAAGCTCTGTGTGAGGAGAAGATTCAGGTAAGTGGTCCTCAGGAAGTGACCTCACTTCCTTGACAGGGACCTAACAGTTTAGAACTCTGGAACCCACATAGCCAACTGTAAGGATCAGCCAACTGCCTTGTCCTTGAGACCCTAGAGAGATCAGACTGTTCTCTCGCTGTTTTAAGGCTACTCCAGGCTCAGAGCCCAAGAAAGACAAGAGTCAAGGCCATGGTGGTGTCTGGAAACACAGAGTTCACTCTTGCCTCCAATGCTTCTGGCCATTTGGCAGGAAGGAAACAAATCTGACCCAGGGCAGCCAGGCCCAGGACTGCAAAGACCAGGTAACCACTCTGAAATCTCAGAATTTCACCAACATTTGCTCTGGGTGTTTGGCAGTGTAATGGTTCAGGAAAAGTTGGAATGATAATAACCAATCAGAAAGTTGCAGTCCTGCCTGTGCCTGTTTAAACCATCCACGGTAATCTCTTCTCCGGTTGAGAAGGAGTCTGCCCTAAAGATCCAGGAGGAGCCCTGTAGAGAGTCCCACATCAGCACAGTCATGGTGGCAAGACTGATGAACCACCTGGTGCCTTCCCTGCAGGGTGGGGACCCCTTCTTTGTCCCAGCCTTCCTGTGTATCTATCAAAGGTTTGCCACCACCCAGCAGGTGCTGGACCTGCTGTTGGAGCAGTGAGTGCCCACCTCCAAGCCCAGAGACCTCCAATCATCAGTTGGTTCTGGGACGCTCCCTGCCTCTCTCTAAGTCTTTTTTCTAGAGTATTGTCAGGACCCAGGGGCACAGGGTCAGAAAAGGCTTCCTGCACATTTGACTCTTGGGACTGGGGTATCTAGAGCTGACACCCCAATGAATCTGGGTGTCTCCTGCACACTGAAGAAGCTCTCTTTCCCTCACCCAATTTTTCTGATGCCTTGGTCAAATCACTTTTCCCATTTGTAA